AGGACGGCCAGCTCGGGTGGTGGTGGGATGGTGGGATGGGCGCTGCTGGAGCCAAGGGAGGTCATGGATGGCGTGGGGATGGGGCTCTGCTTGGTGGTGTCCCCCCCCCCCCCCCAAGCTGGTATGGGGTCCTCCAAGGCTTGGGTGAGTGTCCCCGTGTCCCTCCCCAGGGGTGGCACTGGGTGTCAGCAGTCCAACACCATGGCCTTGCTGGTCCCTGGTGGATGTGGCACTGTGGGGACAGGGGACGTGAAGGTGGGGGTGGACAGCAGGTGGACCTCCATGTCTCCTGGGTGATGCAGTGCCAGCCCTAGCATGAATGTGACACTGCCGCCAAGGCTTGGGTGAGTGTCCCCGTGTCCCTCCCCAGGGGTGGCACTGGGTGTCAGCAGTCCAACACCATGGCCTTGCTGGTCCCTGGTGGATGTGGCACTGTGGGGACAGGGGACGTGAAGGTGGGGGTGGACAGCAGGTGGACCTCCATGTCTCCTGGGTGATGCAGTGCCAGCCCTAGCATGAATGTGACACTGCCGAGGGACCTCCATGTCTCTTGGGTCCCAACATGGCCAGTCCTGGGTGAACATGGCACTAGGAGGATAGGGGACATCATGGTGGGGCTGAAGGACGTCCATGTCCCTTGGGTATCACAGTAGTACCCCTAGGGTAGATGTGGCACTAGCCAGATGGGGGACATCAGGGTGGAGATGGGACACCAAAGAGACTTCCACATGCCCTGGGTGCCACAGTGCCAAGTCTGGGGTCAAGATGGCACTATGAGGACAGAGGACATCAGGGTGGGGACGGGGAACCTCCACATCTCATGGGTGCCGCCATGCCAGGTCCAGGGTGAGTGTGGCACTAGCAGGATGAGCGACATCAGGATGGAGATGGGACACTCAAGGGAACTTACATGTCCCCTGGGCACCGCAGTGCCAGGTCTGAGGTGAACATGGCACTGCTGGGAGACAGGGAACGTCCAGTTGGGGACAGTCCCTGGGGTGCCACCCTGCCAGCAGCGTGCCAGCCCTCTGCGACACCCCACTGCTGTGTCCCGCAGCCAGGCAGCAGGACCTGATGATGCTGGACGGCTTCATGATGTACCTCCTCTCGGCTGCCGGTGACATCCTCAACCAGGAGCACACCAAGGTGCACCAGGACATGAACCAGCCCCTGTGCCACTACTTCATCTCCTCCTCCCACAACACCTACCTGACCCGCAACCAGAGCGGTGGCACCAGCAGCACCGAAGCCTATGTCAGGTGGGTGCCTCTGGTCAGAAGCTCCATGCCCTGATGGTCCCATGGTTCGAGGGTGCTGGGGCAGCGCAGGGACTCATCAGATCATGGTGCGGTGGCAGGGCGCTGATGGCGGGATGCCGTTGTGTGGAGCTGGACTGCTGGGAAGGCTCCGACGGGGAACCCATCGTCTACCATGGCCACACGCTCACCTCCAAAATCCTCTTCCGCGATGTCATTGAAAGCATCCGTGACTACGCCTTCAAGGTGAGCCGGGTGCTGGCAGCCCTGGGATGGGTGCTGGGGGATGGGTGCTGAGCGCTGCCCATCCCCGTCCCCAGCAATCGCCCTACCCCGTCATCCTGTCCCTGGAGAACCACTGTGGGCTGGAGCAGCAGGCCACCATGGCCCGGCACATGAAGGCCATCCTGGGGGACATGCTGCTGACGCAACCGCTGGAGGGGCAGGACCCCCACGACCTCCCATCCCCGGAGGTAAGGCCACCCGCCCGCCCACCACGGTGTCCCCATGTCCCCTCCGAGCCCTGAGCTCGGCCCTTCCTCCCGCAGCAGCTGAAAGGGAAGGTTCTGGTGAAGGGCAAGAAGTTGCCAGAGCCGTGGCACGAACCCTGGAGTGTCACCTCCCTTCCGGACCCCGAGGAGGAGGAAGAGGAGGAGGAGGAAGAGGAAGAGGAGGAGAAGCTGCAGGAGAGAAGCAGCCGGCGGGTAAGGGGCTCTCCCAGGGCTATGGTGCCGGGAGACCACGGCATCCCAGTGGTGCTGGAGGACCATGGCATCCTGGTGGTCCTGGAGGACCATGGCATCCCGGCAGTGCCATGGGACCACTGTGTCCCAGCAGTGCTGGGGCCCGGGGCAGGTGAGCGCTGCCAGCATCCCCCGATGTAGCCCTGCTCTCTCCTCTTCCAGTCGCTGCAGTCGCTGCAGGAGATCAAACCTCTGCAGGTGGGTCGTGTGATGGAGCTGGGGGGGCTGACGGGTCGGGTACCGTGGGGGTGGCGAGTCGCTGTCACGGCCACTGAGGGGACTGAGCTTGGGGACTCCTCGGCTGTGCCTCCCTCTTCCCCCATTGGGCTGGGTGCTCCATTTCTGGCATCTCCATCACCTCAAGGTCTCCATTGCCTTGGGAACTCCGTGACTTTGGGTCTCCATCACTTTGGGCCATTGCCTTGGGAACTCCATGACTTTGGTCTCCATTACTTTGGGGTCTCCATCACCTCCAGGGTGACCCCTCGGGGTCTCCATTGCGTTGGGAGGGGTGTTCTCCATTGCCTCAGTTCTCCGTCACCTCAGGGTCTCCATCACCTTGAGGTCTCTATCACCTCAGGTTCTCCATCATCTTGGGTTGTCCATCACTTCAGGGTGTCCATCACCTTGGGGTCTCCATGACCTCAGGGTCTCAAGCTGCTTGGGTTCTCCATCATCTCAGGATCCATCACTCCATTGCCTCAGGTTCTCCATTGCTTTGGGGTCTCCATCACCTTGGGGTATCCATTGCCTCAGGTTCTCCATCACTTTGGGGGTCTCCATGGACTTGGGGGTCTCAGCGCTCAGCACTAGCAGGGTAGGGGGAGTCTGTAGACCCTCAGGTAGGCATATGGCCACCAGAGCCAGGGTGGCCCTGACACCACAGTGGCTCCCGCAGGCCAAGGACGCATCACAGGTGGCTCCGGAGCTGTCGGCCGTGGTGGTGTACTGCCAGGCTGTCCCCTTCCCTGGCCTGGCCCATGCCCTGCGCCACCCCCGGCCCTGCGAGATGTCCTCCTTCAGCGAGAGGAAGGCTCGGAAGCTCATCAAGGAGGCGGGTGAGGGCGATGGGATAGGGACGAGGACGGGGACGGGGACAGAGTGGCTCCATGCTCCTGACCTCACTGGGATGCAGGATGGGGCTGAGACTGGTGGGATCTGTCACTGATGGGGTCTGTCACCGGGGTGCCTTCACGGGCGGTGGTCAGGGGCGTGCTGGCCTCGGCTGGGCTGCTCTGGTCTGGTGGGACTGGGGTCTGGTGTCAGGCCAGAGGCCAGGCTGAGGGTCACAGGTCCAGGATCAGGGTCTGGTGTAAGGCTCTGGGGTCAGGGTTTGGGATGTGGCATCTGGGTCCAGGGTCAGGTCTGGGGTCTGGGGCTGGGATTAAGATCTGGGTCAGGGTCCAGGGACTGAGATCTGGGGTCTGGGGTCAAGGTCTGGGGTCTGGCTTCAGGGTTCAGGGTCAGGATCTGAGATCAGGGTCTGGGGTCAGGGTCCGGGGTCCAGGGCTGAGATTAAGATCTGAGTCAATGCTCAGGGTCTGGGGTCCAGGGTCAAGGTCTGGGATCAGGGTCGGGGTTTGGGATCCAGGGCTGGGATTAAGATCTGGGTCAGGGTCCAGGGTCTGGGGTTTGGGTTTGGAGTCTGACGTCCAGGGTCAGGATCTGGGGTCAGGCTCTGGGGTCAGGGTCTGGGATCCAGGGTCAAGGTCCAGGGTCAGGGGTCCAGGGTTGGGGTCTTAATCCCAGTGTCCAGTTTCAGGGTCTGGGTCACGTTTCAGGGTCTGGGTCCACCTCAAGGTGTGAGGTCAAGGTCAGGATCCAGGGTCAGGGTCTGGGATCCAGGGTTCAGTTTAAGATCTGAGTCAGCATCTAGGGTCTGGGGTCAGGGTCAGGGGTCCAAGGTCAAGGTCCAGGGTCAAGGTCCAGGGTTGGGGTCTTAACCCCAGTGTCCGGTTTCAGGGTCTGGGTCACGTTTCAGGCTCTGGGTCCACCAGCCGGGCAGGCTCCGTCCATGTCCCCAGGCACACGGGTGCAGGCAGGACACTGTCACCCGCTGGCGGGGCCCCGCACCGGCACCCATGGGTGCAGCGGCCCCACTCAGCTGTTCCCCCACCCCAGGCCCGGCGCTGGTCCAGTACAACGCCCAGCAGCTCAGCCGCGTCTACCCGCTGGGGCTGAAGATGAACTCCTCCAACCACAACCCCCAGGAGATGTGGAACGCCGGCTGCCAGCTGGGTGAGACCCCACGGCCCCTGGGGGACACCCCATGACCTGGCACCCCCCCTGGAGCCATCACCCACCCTGACACCCCGTCCTCCTGTCCCCACAGTGGCCCTCAACTTCCAGACGCCGGGCTACGAGATGGACCTGAACGCCGGGCGCTTCCTGGGCAACGGGCGCTGTGGCTACGTGCTGAAGCCCCCCTGCCTGCGCAGCGCCCCCAGAGAGGGGCCCCGCCGCCTGGCGCTGCATGTCAGGGTGAGGGCACCCCGCTCCCCCCGACCCCACGCCTGGGTGGGTGCCATCTGCGTCCCTGCTGGGTGACACCCCTGACATTCCCATGCCTGGCTGGGTGCCACCTGCAACCGTTTTCCCAGGTGACACCAACCCCACACCCAACCAGGTGCCACCCACATCCCCTCTGGGTGATGCCAACCCCGTGTCCAGCCAGGTGC